CGCTACTAGGGCTACTAGAAGAGTGTTGGTGGGGAGAATGTGGTGGAGAGAAAAGGGGAGGGGGTCTGTTGGAAAAAATGGTAGAGGATTATTTTTTCTTTTGTGGTGGGCGTTGTTTGCTAACATACATTTGAATAGGTGTGAAACTATACACCAAAAAGGCGAAATTGTACCCCTAAAATAGGTGTATAGATGAAACTATACCCCTAATAACATTGGTTTACATTGTTGTAAACCAATAAAAATGATTTAATATAGAAAATTAAAACATTACACTCTGCAATGAGAAATGACACGATATGAAACTATTGCATGGTGGTAACTTTCTGTTTAGATGTTTTTTCTTACAGACCCAGAATTGATAATATGTAGTATTTTATTCTGTTTTTCATGCAGTTAAAAGAACTTTTACTGCAAATTGCATATGAAATTATTTGAAATGTTGTAATATATTTATTTTTAAATGCCTTTTATAGGTCTTGGATAAATGAATTACTTAACTTTAATAACCTCTCATTGCAAGATCTTTTTCTTGTGTAACTGGAGATAAGTCATGTAAAGGTTTAGCAATATATTCAGAATTGTATAGCCCAAACCAAAAACTTCACTATTAGAATAAACAGGTAGATTGACTTGGATCAGGCACTTGTTCTGTGTTTCTTTTTTTCTATCAGAACTTAAGGAACTGATTAGAGGAAAATGACTTTCTGATTTCTTACATTTTTAAAGTATATTGAGCCTCTCAAGGAACAACCTAAGAACCATTGTAGATATAATTCTAAATTTGTTAATCAATAGCCTTGATTTTTTAAAGAACTGCAATGATAGGTATGAAATTAACTTGAATAGTCAAAGAAACCTAACTACATTTGGGCTTATAAATCATGCTCAATAACAGTAATGCTATTATTGTTTTCATGACAATAATATTGTCCTCCTTATTTGAAGATGACTCCATTGATAGTATCTGCTATTTATTTGCATACTGGAGTTGAATAGTCCTATGTACAATCAATAGCTCATCCCAGTTCTGCAGAAAGGTACCTGTACAAGTTGTAATTATGGAGCCTCTCTTCAAGTTATATGTTAATCTTTGTATAAATTTAAAAATGACAGGATTTAAATTTATATTAAAAATATATAATTATATAATTATTTAATTTATATAAAATTATATTAAATTTATATAAATTAAAAAATGACAGACGAGGTCAATCTGAAACCAGAACTGATATCTCCACTGCACATTTAAAATGTTCAGCATTAGTCTGATTTTGATACTAACATTTCATATCAGAGCAGGGGAAACATGATTATTAAACTCATCTAAATTTCCTTTTGGTTGTTCTGTAGTATCTTAGAATAATACTCACACAGTCACACTGACAAGTATCTCCATCCTAATGACTTTCATATTAAGGTATGGCTTCAAATAATGAAATATTTTTGTTCACCTAGCTTTGGAATAGCATGGTATATGTTAATTACTAACTTTGTCTACATTATTTTTTAAAGATCAAACGGGCACAGTGGTAATTTTCATTAATCTCATACAGAGCAGCTAATTAAGATTCCCATTATTATCTGTCCATTATCTACTGTTTTCCTTTGTTCAATATCAGAACAGGATGTTAATAATATGTCTTTCTTGTATTACCTATTAAATACAGTGAAAATTAATTCAATCTATTACACTGTTTTGGTTTGAGATCATTTCTTTAATATTATGTCGCACCATATTATAATATTGATTTCAGAATTAAATACTTGTTGCTTTGATCTTTTGTTCAATATTGGGGAAAAGTTACATTTTGTGGAAAAAGCAGTAACCTGAGGACCAGACTGTTAGAGTGTTATACTCAAAACCTCACTAATTATGTGAACTTGGCAATCACCTAGATTGTCTATTTCTATAGCAAAGATGTTAGTAGAGGTGATCCTTAATGACTAGTCTTCACATATTATTACATTTTTGTAAATTAATTACATTTATTTTTATTGAAATGACATTGTATTATAACATTATATAATTTCAGGTGTGTATCATAAAAATCAGTATATGTATACACTGCATTAAGTTCACAAAAGTTTCAAATTTGAACTTGTGCTAAAACCTCCAAATCCTTTAAAGTTTGATAAAATTATTTTTTTCTACAATGTTTTGTGTTTTCTCATCATGACCATGTGTATCCTAAATTATATAATTTATACTTGTCTGTAAGACTTGTGAGTAGAGTGAGTCCCAAGATGATGAGTATCCCAGTTTTTCCATTAAAAGTATCTTAGCTCTGACCACCTGAAAGAAGGGAATTGAAATTTTCTGAGCAACTTATTCTGTATCTATGAGATATCACATATGAAATGCACATATTAGATACAGCTTACTTTGCATCTTCGAGAGACTGCTTATGAAATGCATATTATATATGCTTAATTCTCATAACAAACATAAGGGATAGGTATTTATTACCCCTATATCATGGATAAGCAAACGAGTGTATAGAGATTAGTTCAAGCATCTGCACATAGTTTACTTAGATGGTAAGTGATGGGATCATGATTCAAAACTGGTAGTAGTTTCAGCTATTCCCCACATGCTGTACATTGTCTCAGTTTGCCTGTTCTATACTCAGCATCTTTTACTATATTATAATAGAATGTTTTAGGACACTGTAATAATCTGACGCAGAACTGAAGTGAGTTGGAAAGTTTCAGCCTGTTGGAACTCATCTCCCATTCACCATATTTTTTACTCACCATTCATCCATCCTTTCAAGAGTTATGTATCGAGTACTTATTGTGTGTCAAGCATTGATGTTGTGTGTGTCAATGTGTTGATATCTGGTGATATAGCTGTGAACAAGCTAGACAAGATTCTGCCTCATAGAGCTTATGTTTTAATGAGGACGACATAGTAAACAAGTAAATTGCTAAACAAATTAAATTTCTATTGAGCTAATACTACAAATAAATATTAAAATGGTGTTGGTAGTGGTACCTGCAGTGAGGAAAGGAGACTGTTGGGCTTAGATTTGAGTGAAGAGAATTAGAGTTGGGGTTTGGTTAACTTTAGTTTTCATTCTTAGGGGTCAGTATTGAATTAGAGTTGGGGTTTGGTTAACTTTAGTATAACTTAGGGGTCAGTATTGAATTAGAGTTGGGGTTTGGTTAACTTTAGACTTGAGTGAAGAGAGAGCCAGCAATGGCGATGTGAATAGTAAGAGTCATCCAGGCAGAGAAACTGACAAATAAATACATCATTCAGTGGGACTTGCTTTATCTACATGCCTCCAGGGGTGCATCAGTAGCACCTTTTTTGAGGAGCATATGAAAGTGACATGTGCATATGTGAGTATATACTTGCAAAATTTTATGCTATTATAGTTTACTTTCTAGAATTTCTTGTGTTTTTTTAAAAAATGAATGAATAAGTTCTAGATATGTGGAAATAAGTTTATGTTTTTACTTACTGTGCCATCTGTGTGGTGACTCATCCAGTAGAATTCTTGGATATCTACTGTATATCAAATAAAGCCATAGAAATCAAGTCAGGGCCATTACACAAATATGAAAGCTAAAACTCTGAAATTGTATTCCTTGTTCTGTAATTGTTATGGACAGATTCAATAATAGCACACTTTTGTTGAGGATCACTAAATTCATGAACTGTATTAGACTGATGGCATACATGGAGTTCCCGGTCTAGGAGCAAGACACAAATAATGACTTTTGCTATAACGGTGTTATGATAATGATAGTGACACAGTGATATAAGGGAATAGAGTTCCTCTACATAAGACTTGATCAGATTTTAAGCATTCACTATTTAATGTAATTTTTAAAAATTGAGACATTAAGAATGATTGACATTTTCTATATTGAGATAGTATTTTCAATAAAAAAGCCAAATAATATGAAATCCTAGAGAATCCATTTCTCATTATTAACACATTTTTTAACAATTCTACATCCTCTCACAATGTGACTTCTACCAAATAGGAAAAAAAAGTCACTTTTTTAATTCTCATTTAGATACTTAGCAGAAACTTCATGTAATTCACAAGGACTGAGAAAATAGAACTGAAACTAGAGTTTTAATTCAGGGGAATATATTTTTAATATAAAAATGGTAGTTATGATTTTTTTATCTGTCTAGAATGTGAAACTATGAGATATTAGTTCAACGAATATGTTCATGATGTTTTCCTCCCAGTCTTTTCCCCACACTACTTATATAGTTATAGCAAGGTGATGGAGCTAAGGATGATGGAGCTGTGATGAGATAATGAGTGCTAGAAATATTCTCATGCTTATTGGAAATAAATCTAAAAACTAGCCTGTATCACATAAATGCATTTAATGACTTTTTAAGATTAATCTACAGAGTACCAGAGTTAGGAAGGAATAGTTGGGGATGGGTGAATGCTTTAGACTAATTAGGTTAACCATGATAATTGGAGGGTATATTTTATTTTGCATTTTAATAACTGTTTTCCCTTGTTATTTGAGTTAGATGTACTGATACAGTTCAGTAGATTTGGGTTTTATATATAATGTTTATATTAAATTTTGTTGTGTTTTTTTTTGGAATAGAATATAAATATCTTAACAAGGAAAACTATTAAGAGGCTTTCTAAATGTTCATCCCATCCTGTGGGATAAAGAGGACTAGTTAATGTTAATCATAATGCCTGAATTGTAAATGTAAACATACTTTATAAATTTAATGCAACTCAAGTCCATATTCTATTCTGGTCATAAACACAGCAGTGTAGTTTTCTTTTAAATGAGGGTGAGGAGCATGTTGAGGGATACACAACATGATTTTATCATGTCAATTCTATGACCAAGAATTTTTAAGTGCCTTGCACATATTTTACACACTTTTTTTTTATACAGAAAAAGTGTTTATATATTCTATGTATTACTTTAAAAGTTTTTTTTCTAAAATTACTGTGGGTAATACTCTAAAATAGTAGTATTTTTCTTTTTTTTAATAGGGAGGGCTGAAAAACAGCAAACATGAGTGCACCCTGTCTTCACAAGAATATGTTCATGAATTACGATCTGGTATTGCAGATGAAAAACTACTTAACTGCTTAGAATCTCTGAGGGTTTCTTTAACCAGCAATCCCGTCAGGTAAGTGGTTCTTATTGTTTCATGAGGCATAAAACTTGTACTGTATTTAATGTTGGTGAATATAATCATTTATGTCATTTTAACTTTAAGATTTTTTCGCCTGAGTCTGATATTAACTTGTAAAAAAGGAATGTCTGATTATGAAGCCACAAATATTTAAAAGATATACTCTGATCACAAATCACATGCAATTTTAAGAACACAATTGTTACGTCGAAGTTTAATTCCTCTTTAATTATATAAAACATGGATCCAGAAGTTAATACATACATTTACATGGAGATAGGTGGATTCAGATTGGTTATTAGATATTTATTGTAAAACAAATGAAGTATATAGATATTATTCCTTCTTAACTTGAGAAGTAAATATTTCATATCCTACAAGTTTGAGATATGTAATTCATATATTTTTGTAATTTGGGATAGTGAAAATTAAATTAATTTAGCCAATAAAAAATATGAGAGAAGTATTCAAAAGCTCCTCAAACTCTACACATTTAGATCTCCACTGGATTTTTAAGGAAGAGCTTATTGCGATAAAAAGCATTAGAAATAATTACATGCAAAATTTAATTTTTTTAAAGATTTATTTATTTATGCATACAAGAGCTGGGGGACAGGCCAGAGGTGTGGGGGATGAGAGGATTCACCAGAGACAGAGTGGGGAACAGAATAGGCAGATTGACCAAAGTACACTGCCAAGGGGAGCAGCGGGCGAGCCAGTAGAGGTCTACTGAGCCATGTGGGTTGCTCTCTGGCAGGCCTGGGATCGAACTTGTGCTGCAGAGACCGTGGACTGCTTCAGAGGTTGTGTCTTAACCCCTCATACCACCAGGGAGGCCCCTTTTATAAGGAAATAGATTTTCATTGTAATACAAAAATATTGTGGGATCTACTTACACAATCACTAGAAACTTATGTTCAAAATTTACTGGATAAGAGTATATGGCATTGGGCCTCCCCGGTGGCACAGTGGTTGAGCGCTGGGTTGCGAAGCTGCCCGCAACCTCTGCAGCACCAGTTCGATCCCTGGCCACCAGAGGAGGGTCCCGCATGGCCGCAGACCTCTCCTGCCACCCGCTGCTCCCCTCAGCAGTGTACTTCGGTCCTTCTGCCTGTTCTGCTCCCTGCTCTGGCTCTGGTGAATTCTCTCACCCTCCCAAGCTTGACTGTACCCAGTGCTTGTATAAATAAATAAATAAATCTTTAAAAAAAAAGAGTATATGGCATCTTTATTTTCATTTTTTTTCATGCTTTTCCTAACATAAAATGGGGCCAACATCTTGTATTTCCCTAGAACTTTACACAAAGCCTTTAAAATAATTTAGAACTCAGTTATTGTTTCAATTTACTATAAATTGAAATACATCATACTATTTGTTTTCATGTGTAGTGCATTTGGTAGAAAACTACATATTATAATTCTAAAAATCAATTATAAAGCAATGGTAAGATCTAATTTACTTTTTTTTTAAGCTTATTTAGGAGAAAAGGAACAGAAATAATGTTGGACTCCCAGGCCAGGGACTGGCAAGGAAGCCCAGATCTAATTTACTTTTGAGTATGATAATGATTCAAAGGTAGCCATCTTGCCATACACTTAGAGTTCAAAAACTTTTGTTAATCAATTAATTGTATGAGTGAACGAAAGAATTTTTAAGAAGTAACTCTAGATGTTATAGCATTCAGGAATAAGGGGGAAAGTACATAGTAAATGTACATGTTTATAAAGGTGGCAGGAAAGGCTTAACATTACTGAACACATTTAAAATATTGCACAAGTGTCAGTTGATTCCAGAGAATTATGGGATAAGGCAAGAAGCTGCAAAAATCCTAATTGGCTGGAGGCTACATTCTAGTAGCTGATTGGCCAACAGGTAATGCAAGGCTGCTTTGGTTTCCATGTGCCAACATTTTGTGGTAGCTTTTTGTAAAGATTGGGTCTTCTGTATTAAATTCTCTTATTAGAGCCAATCTGCTCATCCAGTTTTGCCAAAACTGTCCTTAAGATGAGAAAAAATGGCATTGGGAGCCATGGCAGCATCCCCCCATGGGTAGTGCCAGTAGAAGTAATGACCATAGGTCTGAGGGATGCGCAACTCCTATGGCTAGGAGGACCCAAATCTAGGCCAGGACCCCAATCTAGGCCATTGCCCCTTTCAGCATAAGCCAACTGCTCACCTCTACTCTAATTGACAGTGTGTTAAAGGTTAGGGGAATGATATAATCCAGCAATTCCACTCCTAGGTATTTACCCAAAGGACACAGAAACATCAATTCCAAAGAACACCTGCGCCCCTATGTTTATAGCAGCACTATTTACAATATCTAAGCTTTGGAAACAGCCCAAATGCCCAAAAATAGATGACTGGATCAAGAAGATGTTTGTACAATATTACCATGGATATTACTCAGCATTCAAAAAAGATAAACACATGCAATTTGCAGCAACATGGATGGCGCTGGAAGGGATCATGTCAGCGAAATAAGCCAAAAGAAAAAGAAAATTAACCGGATGGGTCTCACTCATAGCAGGAATCTAGAAAACTTAAATAAGGGACCAGGAAATGAATAACTATAAGAAAGTTTGAGAAATCAAAACAACAAAAAACTAGAACCAGAGACACTTTGGGGGTGGGGGCGGGAGGAGGGAGTGGGTTCAGAATGGGGGGTTGCAATTGTATGGGAATATAAAAATAAAATTCATTATTTTAAAAAAAATAAAGGTTAGGAGAATGGCATTATCACAGATCTCTGTTGTGGGGATAATCAGCTAAAGGTGCCAAACTACATTCTTTACAAAATCAATGACATAACCTCAAAGCCTATTGAGGTTCACCTGTGGCTGGGAAGAGCTAAAGCAGGGGTTTACTCGATTCCCTGTGGGAGTATGTGCCAAAGTGATCAACACCTCAGATCTTCTGTGGAGGCAAAGAACCTTGATACCTTGAGCATCCACATTCTGGAAGATACGATGGATGTAATCCATCAAGTGACCTCCTGTCATAGTGTACTCATTATTGCATCGGAAATGGATGAGATGCTGGATGCATGCTACCTGGACTTTATGCAAGAGGAGGTGCTTTATTTGATTCACAAGTGTCTTTGACAGGTAGGCAAGAGCATTTGGGAACTCCAGCCTGTGCTTGGCATCCTAAGCATTAGTGCCATCAAGCAAGCTTTCAATTACCGACCATCAAGAACTATGTCTATTCCACTGTAAAAAGGATTTATTTGTGACATTATTTTACATCCTTGGTTTTTCATAATATAGTATTTCTCCCTTAGGTGTGGCTACCATAATTTTCCTACCACCATAGCACACATAGTCTTCAACCACAGTCCTATTATACTCTGCTTTCTCTCTCTTAGTTTTTTTCCCCTGACCCTCTCTCTCTAATTAAAGTTAAGAATACCCCTTCTTCCAGCTCTAGGTTTGGCCTGTTGAGTAGGAAGGTTTTTTCAACAAAAGATTTCAACTGGCATCCTTTGTAAACTCATTGCTTTTCCAACTGCTTTGAACTTTTATCTTACTCTTAACTATATTTGAAGTTCAGAGGAAGATGGTGATGGAAAAATTAGCAGGGATTTTTTTTTAAATTTATTTATTTATTTATTTGTTTGTTTATTTGTTTTTATTTATACAAACACTGGGTACAGTCAGAAGCGGTGGAGGGTGAGAGAATTCACCAGAGCCAGAGCAGGGAACAGAACAGGCAGACTGATGAAATACACTGCTGAGGGGAACAGCGGGTTGGCATGGTCTACGCGCCATGTGGCACCCTCTCTGGTAGCCGGGGATCGAACCAGTGCTGCAGAGGCTGCGGGCAGCTTCGCAGCCCAGTGCTCAACCGCTGTGCCACCAGGGGAAGCCCTTGACAGGGATTTTTGTAGGATTTTCCAGAAATCACTCATGAATTGAAGAATTTGGGGGAGAAAAGGTACAGAAAATTGTTATTTACTTGAGTGGGAGATTAATTTTCTAAAATGTCTATGTGTTTGGAGAAAATAGATGTAATCAGAGAGGAGGTAAGAGACAAAAACAAACAAAAAAGACTTCCTGCTGAATTTACATTGGATTTGTTTTCCATGTTTAAGCTTGGTTTATATAGTCATATTGATATATTTCTCTAAATATAGTAAATAGTTGATTGAAATGTGCAAATGATAATGATTTATAGATTTAAATGCTCAGTTCAAGTGCTTATTGAATGATTTGGTTTTTTTTTCTTTTTTTTCACATTTATCATTTTTTTCATTTTTTCAGGCAACATTTGCTTTCCCCCACCCCCTCAGATTGAGTCCCCATAGAATCTCCTTCCCCAAGGCACCCGTGCACCATCACCACAGTCCCCTGTGCTCCTCCCTCCCTCCCTCTCACCCTCTCCCTCCTCCTCCCTGCAGGATGTCTCTGGTATATAATTGTCTGTTTTTGCTTTGTTGTGTTTTGTACTGTTATTTTTTTTTTACAATGATGTCTTATTTGGTTCCCCTATATTCCTGTTATAAGTGAAACCATCCGATATTTTTCTTTTTTTCCTTCTGGCTTATTTCACTGAGCATAATTCCTTCTAGCTCCATCCCTGTTGCTACAAATGGCATGAGTTTATCTTATTTGATTTCTGAATAATATTCCATTCTCCAAAGACAAAATGCAAATGGCCAACAGGCATATGAAAAACTGTTCAACATCCCTTATAATCAGGGAAATGAAAATCAAAACCACTTGAGATACCACCTTACAAGTACGAATGGCACATATCAAAAAAACAACCAACAACAAATATTGGTGAGGATGCGGTGAAAAAGGAACTCTCCTACATTGCTGGTGGGAGTGCAAACTGGTCCAACCATTGTGGAAAGCTGTCTGGAGGTTCCTCAGTCTACTGAAAATGGAGCTACCATATGATCCAGCAATTCCACTCCTAGGGATCTACCCAAAGGACACAAAAACATTGATTCAAAAGAGCACCTGTACACCTATGTTTATTGCAGCAC